TGACCTGAAGGGAAGAAAAATTTTCAAATGTGGTGAACAGTGGTCAGTTGCTTTAGAAAAAACAAGACAATATATAAATCAATTTATTAAAAATGGAAATAGGGTAATTTGGAAGGCATATAACAATCTCAAATTATATAAATACAAATATAGTTCTTCTTTTTGTTTAGAGGGTAGTGAAAGCATTTACTAAAGCCATATGATGATGATGGTCCTATATAATCTGATAGCTACTATGGGAGGATATAGGTGAATTTCATAAGGTGATGGTAGGGCACGGGAGCAATCTTATGGATGGGGGACCGGTTTGGAGTTTTAAACAAATTAATTATACATGTAAAACTTTCTGTCTTTTATATAATTAATAAACTCACAAATTGCACTACCTTGCAAAAAAAAAAAAAAAATAAAAATTCTGATATTTTTCCATTAATTTATTCAGTGACAATTTAACATCTTATTCTTATCTGATAATAAAATTTATTCAGTTTAGATTCATTATTTTATCTGATATTCCTCCATTTTATTAATAAAATTTATCCAGTAAATTATCAATTCTGTGAATATGCTACATTTATGAGCATAGTAGGCTTTCCGATTTTCAAATAATCACATGACGATTGGCAAATATGGTTTTTACTTAAATAACAAATAAAATTTAAGTAAATCATCAAGTTTTCAAGTAATTTTAAATGACATAACAGTCATAACACTGACGTAATTGTTTGTTATATAGATATGTATTTTATTGGCTAGATATCAAATGTATCGGCATATGATAATTGTACTAATTTATTTTAATTGTGCCACAAAAAATTTAATAGCGAAGAACGATAAAAAAAATTGATTTTTCAGGTTATGTTTAAACGTATTACAAAGAAATCTGGCTATTAGAAACAGAATCCAGAAGTTATAAATACTTGAAAACTTCTTATAAAACGAAAATAAGCATAGTACATTTTCTTTCAAATTGTAATAAGCTGAAGAAACAAAGAAATATGAGATTTATTTACAACAATGGAAACAGACATATTCAAAGGTTTGTTTTTACTTAAGCTTTTAAATCTACTATATGTTTATTGAAATTTATAATGGAAAAACCCTTTTGAAGAAGCTCTTTTCTTAGTTGTATATTTAACAACTTCTTAAAAAACAAATTTTTTGGATTTTATAATAAATTATTTACATAATTTTTCTCTATTAGAAACTGATCTATCTATTATTTTATTTTCTTTGAATAGTGAATGACTCTTTTTCATTCCTTTAAATAAAATACAAAATCTTAAAAATAACTTATTGGTAAGAAATTTTATGATGTAATATTAGTAATATGGTATTATTTTCTCAATGTGTATATTGGCTAAACAAATAATTTTATATTTTAAAAGATTAAATCACACTCTAATTTTGAAATCAAAGATCTTTCTAATTGATTCACTACATATAGAAATGTTGTCAATCAAATTCATAATTAGGAATAAATGTGTTGAACGCATTTATTCATCAACCAATGATTCAACCAAAGTAATTTTTAATTTTTTGGATAGGTCTTGGTCTATTCTTTAAAGTGAATATAAAAGCGTTCACCTAGTCTATATGTAAGTTAAATTATTTGCATTTTTTTTATAAGAATTATGTTCAATTTTAATTTTATACAGATGATATACAATTGGTTACAAAAAGTGACCGACCACTTAAAAATTAAATAAATTCAACCATTTTCATTAATAATTTTATATTAATAATAAAATTGTGTATAAATATTCAATTTTCAAAGTGAAAAAAATTTCAACTTTTTAACCAAAACAGCTATAGTAATATAAATACCAGAAATCAATTCTTTGACTTAAAATTTGTCTATTTTCAAAATATCAGAAAGATTCGATTAGTAGTTGTTGAGAAAACTACTTTTAAAATCAATGAATTTTGGTGAAATTCTTATAATTTTATATGTAGATCATCAATTTTGCCAATTTTTAAAAGTGGATTTCTCAACAACTACTGATTGAATCTTTCTGAATTTTTGAAAATAAGCTAATTTTTAGTTAAGGAATCAATTTTCTATACCTATTTTACTTTATCTGCTTTGGTTAAAATGTTGAAATTTTTTCTACTCTGAAAATTAAGTATTTATATACAATTTTAACATTAATCAAGCAAGAAAATGGTTCAAAATAAGTTTTTACACTTTTAATTTTAAAATAAAAATAAAATTATTAATGAGAATATTTAATTTTATTTAATTTTTAGGTGGTCGGTCACTTTTTGTAACCCACTGTATATTAAAGTTCTTTATTTTACATCCACCCTATAAAAAGTATTATACTTAAAATATATTTAAAATATATTTAAAATATACTTAATTTAAAAAATTGCAAAATACTTAAAATATATTTTTAATATATCTAAAATATACTTAAAATTATCTTAAAACATATGTCTAATATATTTAATTTTTGCCCATATACTTAAAATATATTTAAATTATATTTAAATTAAAATTTAAGTATATTATAAGACTATTATAAGTATATTTTTTATGTATTTAAAATATACTTAAAATATATTATAAAATATATTATAAGTATATTTTAAGTATGTAAAAAATATATCTATAATATACTTAAATTTTGATTTAAGTATAATTTAAGTATATTTTAAGTATTTTGGCAAAAATTAAATATATTAGAAATATATTTTAAGATAATTTTAAATACATTTTAAGTATATTATAAGTATTTCGCAATTTTTAAATTAAATATATTTTAAGTATAATTTAAATATATTTTAAAAAGTTTTTAATTATATTTTAAATATAAATAC